CGAAATTGACACCGTCCCGTTCACGTAGCATCCTTACGACTCGATGATGTCCACTAGAGAGAGCCCTGGAAATTGGTGTTTGGTTCGAGTTATCTGGTGTGGCGGTGCGGACATCTTTCCGTTGTAAAAGCATATTTACTACCCCCTTATGCCCGTGCTCAGCGGCCAACGAGAGTGGCATCTAGCCATATTCGATGTCTGCCTGGTTGGGATTGACATCCCCTCGTTTCAAAAGCATCTTTACTACCCCCTCATGCCCACCCTCAACGGCCCGCAAGAGTGGCGTCTGGCCAAAGTAGGTGTCTGCCTGGTCAGGATTGATATCCTCTCGATCCAGCAGCACCTTTACTACCTCCTCATTCCCTTTACTTGCTGCCCATGTGAGAGCTGTAATCCCCATGCAATCGGTTGCATCAACATCCCATTCCTTCATCCTCAATATCGCGGCAACTATCCCAATGATCCCGAAAAATGCTACTCCGTGGAGCCCTGTGAACCCGAGTGGCCCTCTAACTGCTTTAAAATAAGGGCCTGTGCCCCTATCGCTATTATAATGCAATAACATTAATTGAGCAGATATATGCTCATCAAATCTACCCAGAAGTCTCAGTGCAAGCGCCTTCACATTTTCCGTCATCCCCCTTCTTGTATGCTCCCCCCAGTAACAGGAAGCATATTCTAGAAGTGGCATTGTCATGGGAGCCGATCGAAGTGTTGGCGAGAGACTCCGGACACATTCAAAATTGAGGTATGTCAAGCAAACCTCCGCAATTGATGAGTGGGGGTTGTGGAATAGGGTTGGATCACTTGAGAGATGCTCTTGGAGAGTAAAGTGGACTAGTCTGACAGTGGACGAAGATGCCTCGACCGCGACAAGACCCAGACAAGATTCTAGGAGCGTCCGTAATGCGGGAACGCCCTCGACATCCAGATCCGTAGATCCCAACTCCACCCCTAAAGCATGACAGAGCTCATCAGCCCGTAATGGCCGTTCCGAATGAGACACCCACATCAGGACCTTCATTCCGAGTATTGATTTGTTTCCCTTCTGCGCCTTCAGTCGGGCTAAAGTTGCCACGTAGGCATCACTCAATCCATTGCCCTTCGCCATCTCTTCAAGTTTCTTCCTTCCCCGACGGATTGTCACCTCCCCCAAAATAGCGTCAACGTTTAGCGAAACGAGAAGAAATCTACACACAATCGTGGGTGAGTATTGATCAATAGTAGGTGAGAATGATAAAGGTTCCTTCCTACATATCAGATATCTTTTCCAGGATAACTCGAATGATATCCGCCCGCAAATCATCATTCATCGCCTCTGGATCGGGGTCCCCGTCCAACCTCATCTCCAGATAACTCCTGATGTCATCTGTGCTAGGACTAATGGGTAACACAACCGCCTTAGTAAAACACTGCTTAACATCTTCCTTAATATGAGGCCTGCCGGTGAGGAATATTCGCGTCCTAGGGGACTCCCGAACAATATCCTTCAGCGACTTAAGAAGATCCGTCAGATGCTTCGGCAGGCATTCGTCAAGTGCGTCAATGCAGATGAAAACTTGAGATAGTGAGGCAATAGCGGTCCCTAGCATCCCCATCAGATCCGGGAGGCTCGGCCCTCTCCCTCCAAACTCCATTTTCCCTTTATGGAACGCCTCGCGCAGATATTCCGGTATGGCCCCTCTACCCGCTAATTGTCTCAGGATAGCTCCCATCATATTGGTGATGGTCTGCTCTTGCTGGGAAAGGTAGTCGCAGTACAGTCCTGCAACGGCGATATCTTCCTCCCTTGCATGATTGCACAGGCTGTCGATCACCAGGGAACTAGTATTTCTAGCCGTCAGCGATATTCGATTCTCCCCCTAAAGGTTCCTCGCCACTTACCTCAGATGTGTCTTGCCCACTCCCGGATTCCCGCTGCAAAACAATACAGCCTTATCAACTCCACCCTCATTATTCCTCCACTCCCGAAACTTGCTTTCTTCCAAAAGCCAATACCCGATACCGTCAAGTCGCTCCGTGCGCACGCTTTGATGCACATGATCTGCGCATCCTCATCGGACTTATAGACCGGTTGGTTGAAAGTATTTTGTGTTGAAACTACTAGTTATGTTACCGGAGTTGATATTCCCGTGGCCGATGTTGACATTTGTAGTCTGGGCCATGGCGTTCCGTCAAAAGTGTGGGTTGAATATATAAATGGTAAAATAGTTTGTACGGGTATCGTGCGGGGGAGTTGACAAAATTCTTTGAACACAGAAGAAAGCGGGGAGGAGGCTTGTTGTGTGACACTTAACTTGATGCCCAATCAATTGGGGAGGGTGCATGACTAATATGATACGAGAACACTACAAGCGCTGCAGAGTATTTGTAGTTTAGTATCGTCATGTGTCTCAGGGATCTCCGAGTCTTCTATCGTAAATCCCATATAGCCTTAGATAGGAGATTAATGAGACCTTGTGAACAGGGGACTGGATTTGGTGGGGCTGTGCTGTTTTGAAATAACAGAAACCCCAGATTTACTCCCGTCACTATATGTTCTAAGAGTTCACCGTCGTTGTCTATGCGCTAATGTCGCTCCTAATATTTGGTGGACGTTACGTCTCCAGTTTCCCGGCTATATTCCTATTGCAGGTGAGCCGCCGGATCCTAAAAAATTGGGACGGTTTCTGGACCGTATGCCGGGCTGGAAGGTATGATATGGTATGGTGGGCTAACGGGATGGCAAAGAACGAGAAGGATTTAGATAGTGCAGTGACTCGGTAGCAGTTTTTCATGATCTGAACCCTTGCGATTGCGCTGTACGAGTAGAGGCTCGGGCAGTGGGGGTGATTGTGGGATCTCCAGCTCGAGAATTCTCAACCACCTGCGAGAACAGAGAGTGAGGAACTAATTAGAGCGGTCAGGTAAAAAAAAAAACATTAAGAAATTATGGAAAATAATATTACAGTAGCCAATTGTGCGATGTCAGTGATCGCTCAAAAGATCTCAGGGTTGAAGGAAGACAGTCAGTCGTGATCAGCCGAGGCGCTTCCAGGACTGTTTCCGTTGGAATATTGTCCCTGAGTTTTCAATAATATTATCATACCTTCTATCGGTTTCCTATAAGATTTTTACAAACTTTCCTTTATATGATACCTTACTTCATGTCTGAAACTGTTATCTCCTTGTTGTCTCCGTACTGTTTCCTCTCTATCTCCTTACAGCAAAAACCTCTCTCTCGTCTCTGTCTTGTTTCGGTGGGAGAAAACTTTCTTCCCTCTTACCAGGGATGAAAATCTCCATCAACACAGGTACAGTATTGGAGGAGGATCATCTTATGTTAAAAGGCCCTTATTATCTACTTAGAAATGATGTGCGAATTTTGACCCTTCAATTGTGTGTCCAAGAAAACTCTTGCTGGATTTTATCTATCATTCCTACTCATACTTCTCTCCTTTCACGTTACCAAACGCTTTATATTACTTCAGGCTCCTCGATCCCCGGAGTTATTGCGATTTATCGAGGAGGTTCCCCAGCTCCGTCTCTTTTATTTGTCACAGGAGTTCAGCGAGGAAATGGGGACATGCATGGGGGAAAGATATATATAAATAGCATGACACCCACGGAAATATCGAGATAATTTCGCCATGTTTTAATATGCTCCTGTTTTTTTTACTGTTGACTCTTGTATAGTGCCAAACATGGGAAAGAAGTTCATTAGATAATCTGTAAATTTTTAACGACTGCTAAAGACCCTACGGACAGTTCGAGAAGACTGGGAACAATTTCTTAAGGACAGAAGAGAGAAGGAAATTATCAAACTCTTCTCAGCGGCCGCCAAATCCACTACCGATAACTGAGGGGAAAAATGCGGACGGAATATAGATTGATTGATTGATTGACTTGGGCAACTGGCACTTATTGCTAGAGGGTGTCAAGAAAAAAAAAGAAAAAATCACGATCAATTTCGTCTATGATAATAATATTATTATGATACTTGTATCATCACACCAGCTTGAGTTCTTTCACCCCCACCAGCAGGCAGGCTTATACCCCCCTCCCCACTCAGGGTAAATGACAAGGACAAGTGCAGAAAATATGATATGATATAATGCCAATAAGACACCACCAAGAGAAGAGAAGGGAAAATGAAAACTAAAAAGCGGCAGACAAACCAAGGAGAAACCCCCCCGCGCGCGGGGGGGATACAATCCGCCCAACCCACCCACCAGCCACGGAAAGAAGAGAGAAAAAAGCGTGAAAGGTTTGGCCGCGAGCGAACCAGTCCAACCAGCAACCATTACTCACGGGAAGATCACGGCGGTCAACTTCTTCCCAGTGTCCAATTCTGAGTGGCATCATATTAGCACAACACTCCAAACTCCTTTTCTAAAGAGAGGAAGGAAGAAGTGGCAGCGCCGACTACAGTTTAATTATGATACCTCGCACTTGTCTCTAAAAAAAAATTAAAAAATTATACTTCAGCACCACGCATCCCAAATAATCCAAAACATTAAATCGACGTCTTTTCCATGATATTTTTGTTTTTTCCTGAGAGAGACTCCCTGTCTCCAGTTCTATTAGTGATTGGGGGCTGTGGAATACTCTGCCCACTTATGTGCGTATCTATATACTGTCGTGTACGGTATGATGCGTTCAGAGTAGGTGGGTGAAGGAGTGAGTGAGTGGGCGAGGCCCGCTACAGTGTATCTCTCAGGAGGTGCTATGACTTGTCAGTCTCCTTTGTTGGGGCCTGACATGTCATACCCGGCGTTTCATCTCATGACTCTGCCGTGACTTCAACTGGCCGAGTGAGTGAGGGGATTGTAGGTTTTGTATCCTGAGTTTCTAACTCATATGCTAAGGAATCTATTGCCCTTTTTTTCCGCGCTATAATTGCGTAGTGATATATCTTGAAAGCCGCAAGTTTCCACTTCAATTACAAGAGACTAGCCTTGCTGGTGCTAATAATAGGCTAATAGCTGAGTGAGATTCTATGATTCATATGCCTCATCCGCCAAGCCAGCCAACCAACACGCATCCCCGCTCATCACTCAGTAACCAAATGGATGGATGGATATCGATCATCGGCATTCATCTAAACTACCCCTTCACATTGGCAACACAACCTGCTCGCGGTTGGTCACCAGCCCGTCCCATCCCATCCTCAGACAACACCCTCCGGGTAGCTAAAACAGGTCGGAAAGAAAGTAAAAAGGCAAGAAAGAGATTAATTAACGATCAAGGGCGGATGAGAAATGTAAGGAGTAAAAAATGTAAAAGTAAACCCCAATGGCAGGAGAAGGGAAAAAGTGAAAGGCATTCGCCAGACAAAAAAATAAAAATAAAAAAACATACAAGAAAAGAGGGGAAAAATATAAATAACCGATAAATAATGCACGCGCGGAAACAGAAAAAGGTACAAAATGGTTACAAGTTGCAAACATCAAATTTCGACCCAGACCCAAGGAGATAAACAGAAAATGGAAATGAAAACCCCCACTGTCACCAACCGACCGACCAACCGAACAGTGAGCCCAGAAGAAATTCAAATAAACAAATAGACGGCGAGAAGACGAAAAGAAGCAATGAAACAAAATGAATAGAAACACAATGGAGAGCAATAAAATAGCCACCCGGATTGATCCGTGTTTCTGTCAGTTTTGTAGTAGTAATGGTAGTAATCATTCACTTTCTTTATTTAAAAGGTCCCGTCTTCCGGCTCCTCGGCTGTGCCACCGCTATTCCCACTAGCCTTTCGACGTCTCCCCTCGTCATTGGATGGCTTACTTCTTCTCCCGACTTCCGCTACGTCTCGTTTTCGAGCAGCGCTTCGTAGAGCGGATACCATCCTTTCCTTGTCGTCCAATCTAGCTCTCAACTCTACAATCTCCTCATCTTTCTCCCGGAGAAGAATATCAACCCGTGCTTCCTCGACCAACTCACCCCCGCCGAATATGCCGGGGACCTTGTGAGGTGGTGAGAAGCCAATGCTAGCCCTACTTTGCGAACTACGACGGGCTTGGAGAAGTCGCTTTTCCAAGGTTGCAATGTAGCGGTTTTTATCGGCCACATCCGCTTGAAGGGCTCGAACCTGGGCAGCAAGTGTCGCGCTTCCGTCGCCAAATTCACCAGTCGAGTCATCGTCGGCACATTCGCTACTACTACCGCCGTTGATGGCAGTAGAAGCCGAAGATCCGGTAGAAAAGGGACGGGCCAGGTGAGTAGTCGTAGTCGAAGACCGGATCGAAAGTGATGACATGTGACCATTGTTCCCGGAAAGGTGCGAACTGCGTGTGGAATTGACGCCCGAGGACTTGGAAGACAGTATCAGGCGGTTGAGATGTTCTATGCGCTCCTTAAGTGCCGTGCGAGCGAGTTGGATTTCAAGGAGTTGTTCAGAGTGCTAAGACATTCCAGGTGTTAGTAAGGGGAGGTAAGGGGACAAAAATCGACAGGATAAAACGAACCCTTTCGACCTCTCGCTCTTCCCTCTCCTCTCTATCCCTCATATCGTCACCTTCCTTGCGTTTTTGCGAATCGAGTTGTGCTCTAAGCTCAGTAATCTCCATACGATATCTCTCAAGCAAGACACGGCTACCAGCATCAACGCCACCAGCAAGACTCTCATCCGCCTTCTTCGCATGACTAACGATATTGTTCCTCGCTCTCGCTGCAAACTTGAGAGTGTTCATGGTCTCGCCAATGTGAGTAGCATTTGCAGCACCACTCACTTGGGAAGGTGGAAGGGCAATCGTGCACAAGATACTCACCAGCGAGCCACCAGACAGGGCAGGCTGAAGTAGGCGAGTTAGCTTGGAGTCGCGATACGGCAAATGGTTCCCATCCTTGTCCTTTCCATATCCCTCCTTGTCAACACTCGATAACCTGGCGATAACAGTTCCCAATGTCAAGAGCGAACGATTGATATGAGCACCTTCCGTCCGGCGCTCCTTATTCTCCGCAGCTCTCTCCGAACCTGCCAGATCGATCAAGCTCAATGTGCTCACACGCACACCCCCAGTAATGCCAGCCCGTCGATTATCAACCATCGACCCGCCTCCGGCCGTTGTCCCCGGAATCCGATCTCTCGATTCCACCACAATTTGCACAACAGCGTGAGATCTCGACGACCGAGCATTGAACTGGGTGCTGCCCGTTCTCCTGGCCAGGTCACCACGGGCAATCACGCGAAGCAATTGCGTGGGGCTCTGTACAATCTCCTCCTTCAAGGGTGTCGCATACACACCTCTCTTGGCATCCTCTCTCAGCTTGATCTCCTCCCCCTTCGTCTGCTGATCCAGGGGGGTGAAACCAGTTCCTCCAGGCTGCGTAGCAAGCAAATCGTGTATCCGTTCGTTATAAATTTCCAAGTAACTAACCCTAAGCAAAAACTCCCGGTGGGGTGTCTCCCTAATGAAGGAGAAGATGTCCGTGATTGCCAGTGGGATTACACCCGGCGAGGACGTAGTCCCCTGCATGCTGAAAGTTTTGCCGGTTCCCGTCATGCCGTACGCAAAGACGGTTCCGTGGTACCCTTCCATGACCCGCCGTACCAGACGTTTAGCGCAAGAATCGTAAACTCGAGAATTGTTGTCGTTTTGGCCAAAGACGTTATCGTACTCATATATTCCTCCATCCTTCCCACCGTATCCCACCTTTCCGTCGCGCCCATCGATGGTCCATTCGCTATTTCCACCCCCGCCACTGTCGTTGGCGTCCGGTCTTACTCGAACCGATACAATAACATTTCCTTTTCCTTCACGCTCTCCAGACTTTTCATCAGTCCGACCCCTTACAGTAAGCTCATCCCCGCTACCAGCACCAGCATCGATAGTAGTAGCATTAGTGGAGTAGCTACCCTGGGCACTGCTGCTCCTGCTGTGAGGAGGACTCAGATACGCAGTTCCGCTCGCACCACCCGAAAACCCCGAGCCTAGGCTTCCAACCGAGATGGTTTTCGACTTACTCGTTTTGACACCTGGTGAACTGGACGACCTCTCCAGACCCACACCGCCCCTCTTTGGGCTTCCGGCAGGCGAGGGCGATGGCGGCTTGTTTCCATCCTTGGCCGTCAGGTTGCACGTGCTCAACGAGCTCGCAGGCGGTAAACTCGCTATCCGACCACCCCCTGTTCTCGGTGGCTTTGGAAACGACGCTATTGACACTGCCCGACGAGGAGTCAAAATCTTGGCGTCAGTTAGTAACGGAACTGAGGGTGTCGAAGGCCGTTGTAACGCTCCTGAAACTTTCCGTGGTGTCTGCGGGAGCAGAGAAGCCTTCCGAAGGTTCTGTGTAGATGCTCGACTGGAGATGGAATTTGGCAAAGCTGGCAGGGCCGATGTCGGCGGCTGGGATGCATTGAAAGATGCCCGTGGGGGACGAGGTAATGTTGTCGTTGTCGTGGTCGCCATTGGGGGATATTCCTCGGCGAACGAAAGTTTCAAAGCCTGCACCGCAAAGATGTCAATGGACGCTCGGCGTGGTAAAATCTTTGGGAGAAAAGCGAAAAAGCGAAAAGGCACGGGTAGGTGCAAAGTTACCTACTATATCATACAAATCCCTATTGAAGGTGGAATATTTGCAGATCCACCCGGTATAAACCTACCGTCGAACGAGCGTAAGACAAACAGATGGACAAACCAAGGGAAGAAGGAAACTCTATCGTGATTCCCTTCGCATAAGGTACGGCTATCCTCTAGATCTAGAAAAACGTGATGGGACAATCTATCACTGTTGATGCGGTATTCGTCGCTCAGAAAAAATAAACAGAAACTAAATGTGGAGAGAAAAAGGTAATGTCAGTACAAAAAATCTGGAGGGTAGACAGATAGGTAGGGATAGTACCGAAGGAATAAATTTTTAACGTGACGCGAGGGAGGAAGGGAAACGTTTGTTCGACGTCGGATGTCGGGGGAGTCGTTGGGTTTATCCTTTACAACAGCGTTTCTTCCGGTCCAGATCCAGGTCCAGGGGGGTAAAAGCGGAAAAGGGCTGTTGTTGCTAAAGTCAGCATTACACTGACAAATTGTTTATCTTTCCTTTCTTGTACCTCCACCCCAGCACATTCTGCCCATTCTTTCTTTTTTTTTTTTCCTCTTTCCTTTCCTCCTTTCAAATGCAGGGACTCAGGAAGGAAAGAGGTACGTACCCCGTACCTTATGCACAATCAATAAACCCAATAATTGGTAACGAGTACGACTGGGGAAACTCGGCAGGCTCTAAAATCCCAGTCGAGAGAATTGACGGACGGACGGGCAGATACACACTTGGGCGGAGAGGAGGCAAAAGGGTGCGGAAGGGAAGAGTGAAGGTACTCGAGCGAGATGTGTTTATCGGGAACAAAACGTGCTCGGATAACGACCTTTGCGGAAAGAGGGGAGTGAGAAGGGGGGGCTTCAGCAAGGGATAGCGAAGGGGGAAAAAATAAGTAAATAAAAGCGGAAAAGGGAAGGGAAGAAAAAGAAGAGGGAACGAATCGAAGGGAACAACTGACTGACTGACCACCCCCGTACACACGGGTGAAAGAAAACAAGAAGAAGGGAAGGGACGGAGAAGGGAAGAGGAAAAGGAAAGAGTGCGGGAGTGGAGGAAAAAATAGGGTTCAACGGTGATGATGATGATGATGGTGATGTCGAGGGCGGAGGCAACAGACCACATAGACACGGGTCCAATACGGGGTGAGCCGGCTTCGAACTCTAGCTGTTAAAATCCCCTGAGGGCTCAGCCATACGGGTATTTCCATCCTTCTCGTTCTCTTCTTCTCTCCTTTCCCCACGGTTGAAGAAATTACAGAGACACTCATCAGCTAGAAGGCAGCATGGCGATGATGACACTATATTCTTAGAACAGGCTCACGATGATTCTGTGGACGATATCTATGTTCCCCCAACAGCCAAAAAAAAAGGTACAGGTATCATAAGGAAAAAAGAAAAAAGTAAAGTGAAAAAATAAATACTGTAAACAAGTAAATACAATATCACAATGGGAGCCCACAGGAAAAGACTCGTATCTAATTGGTGACGCCTGCCAGGCTGGCAAAAGGCTTCAGTATCACCAGGTCCAGTAGGCCGTCCCATTCGCCCCTTTAGAAGGAGGGGCTCATCTCGCGGCCCTATCGCTGCACCGGCCTTTGCTTTTTCTACTGGAGCACCAATTCTCCTCCTCGAAGCAACATGGGGATAGCCGATTACTCGAGCACCGTATTATACTAGTAGTATACATGTAAGCGCTGCGAGCACAAGAGCATCCCCTGGAATCCTGGGAACTGCCACCCACACCGCCGACCCGCTGCCTGTATCACTCCCATAAGTTAACTCCACCGATAGCGCATCTCTCTTGGCAGCTTCTCCGCCTCGAGCTCATCCTCGAATCGACCCCACTCAACTCAACAACACCGAATAGAGAACAGTGCCGTACAGCACCCCCTTTTCCCATTACTCGAGTACTCGAGTATATGCACCTCCCACCCCACGAGTACAAGTACTTGGGCTTGTGCTTCCGGTCAAATTTCGCCCTGGATAAGGCGTATCTTTACACAAATTGCCAGTGCCAATATCCTGTACTGTACTTGTATTTGTATCATACATACCGCCTATCATAACGGTACAGTACAGTACCAGTACTCCTACCAGCAAACGTGGAGAAGAAAAGCAACGAGTGAAGGAAGGGGAAAAGAGGGGGAAAAAGAAAGAAACTCTGCCCCCCGTTGTTCCACCACGTGGGCACCACCTCAGAGCAAAATAAAAGAAGGCAGGAACGAAAGAACGAACGGAGAAAAAGAAAAAAATACGATCCAGCGCCGGTGCGGTACCGGTACTCGAGTAGAGAGTGCTCTTGCAATACGGTGCCGGTAGACGACTGGTATTCCCCCTTCCCCCAGTTGGCTCGCTGGGTCATCAGAAATACGGCCGTGCACGCATGTTCCCTTCCCCCATAGAGAGTAATGATCTGCGATTACAAGTTTTCGCTTCCCCTTTTTCTACCCTGAGGGAGGAAGGGACATGAAGAAACCTCAATGGTCCGCATGGGGTTAGTCTCCCGAACGTAGGACAGAAAAGAAAAAAAACATAATAATTATGTACTCGTACTATTGTATAGTACTTGTAGTAGTTGTAGGCTACGATAACAGAGGGCATTGTAAAAGCACCGGTGGTACCGGTACGATAATTTACACCACAGTGCCAATCCCGATATATGGATTCAACAACCATGACAATGGTACGGTACTGGTACATGATATGATACCTGTGAATAGAAGGAGGTTTGCTACCCCAAAGGTTTCCTCCCTTCCCCATGAGACCGGTAAATTTACTTGCGCTTCGCGATGGATCGGTGCCACCACTGGCAGAAGCGAACGTTAACAACTGCACTGCACCGCAGCAATCGCTCCCCTGTGGCGCTGGGGCTCAAACACCCCGTCATGCATTCACACAGCAATCCACAGTACCCAGCCCCAAGGTTAGGCCTGCATCGAAATGAGCCCATTCAGGAATTAGAGTTCCTTTGCAGGAGATGCGATGATGATAAGCCAACTCGCCATACTGTAAATAAGTAACTTAAACACAACCTTTTCTTTTCTTTTTTCTTTTCTTTTTTCTTTTTCTTGTTCCACTTCCCTTTTCCTTTTTCCACTTTAACCCCATTAACTTATGGTTTCCACAACAACCGACCAACTGACTAAGGCTTGCCTTGCCCCGCCCGTTCTTGTGAGCTTTTCATTTGGGAGGGAGGGGTGGGGGAAGGAGGAAGGAGGGAAGAGGGAAGGATTAAAAAAGAGGAGTTAGACGAGCTCTACTCGAGTATTAATTGGATTGATCGGTTGATCCATCAAATGACCAATCCGCTACCGATACCTCTCACCTACTCTCCTCCTCGTCCAAAAACGGTCGCTAGCGATATTGCAATGGCGCCTTCGTGCTCCATCACCAACTCCGAGCAATCAAAGCGGAATAGGGGCACACCGTACTTGTACGAGAAGGGTCCGCAAGCGAACCATCTCCACTACCACCGCCAAATATTGGACCCTCTTTAGGCAAAATTCATTTCGGGCGGTACGAGTACAAATAGTAGAAGGCTAACTTGACATTCTGGCGTAGGTGGGGGAAGATTATCCGAAAGGGGCTATATAGGGCCAACTTCATTTACTGGGCTGCCTTGGTACCCATGATAGGCTATCCTTGAAGATGTTGTTATTGGTGTTGTTGAGGTTGATATACCGGTAATATATCATATAGGCTTGGCTAGAGTGTAGCCGAGAGGTGAGGAGAAAAAAATGTTTGATGGCATGTGCTCTGCCCACAACCTCTGCACCCCGCGTTTCAGCAGGATGGGGATTAGAAGGGGGTGAAGTACTGTACCGGTATGGCACGAGTATCGCACTGCACTGAGCGCAGTATTGAGGGATGGAGGGACGAAGGAGGGATCCATACCTTCCTACTGGGACACGGGAGGGCTGGTAAGCTTCCTGCGACGTTAATCGTTTCTCGGCTAAACTTGGTATGCTTTGTGGGAGAGTATATAATAAGGTTTCCTATTATGCCAGGGATGCCAGCCAGTACTAGTACTTATACTGTACCATACGGTACCGGTACTCGAATAGTGAATGCACATCCCCCCAGAGCCAGCACGGCAATCCTGGACATGGGGTATAGCACACTAGTCATTGATCACCAAAAGGCCACGAATCCATATGATAGAACTAGCCCAGAGCATGGCGGCCCCCGAGCTGGTACCAATACTCGAGTACCGTACCGAGCTGCACAGCTATTGCGCTACTTGTAACATACGCGCAAGTACCGGTACCCAAGTACCAGACTTCAAGTCCCGGGCCTTTCTCTTCGAAACGTAGTCTACCCCTCATGCTCGTGCCCCGACGCCGCGAACTCCGTGACTACCAGTAGTGCTCGAGTACCCGTATGCTGGCTGAAACTTTTCCGGGAGACTTCTAACCGAAACTCTGATGGTGAGGGAGTGGGGGGGAGGAGGAGGATCGATTGGTATAAACATCTCCTTAGTGCATCAATTGCGGCCGCAACGGCATATCTCGCACATCGAATGAAATCCCGGGGAGCTAATAATGATTAGTGATTCGGCAGCAGTAGTACTCCCCCCACTCATGGAAGATCACTCGGGGTGGCTACCTACTTTCTATTGGAAATATTTGTTAGAGGTATCACCGGATATGAAGAACGGGGGGAGAAGTTGTTGATTGATTGTTGTTCCGAAGAAGAGGAAGAAAGCAAGAGGAAGGATGAAAATAGAAACACAAGTATCATATCAGGACCCGGAAGCAACCATAGGAGGGTAACTTAAGAGAGGCATAGACATTTGGGGGACGCGCAATCACCTCTTCTAACAATATTGCTTCGATGACACGGAAGTATGTTGAGCATGGAATATTGGGACTCATGTCACTGTATACAGACACCTCTCATGGGCATAAGTGCTGATGTCTCAAGCAGAGGGCAAAACAAGAACACAAAAATTCGCCTTACCCACTGCAAATTTGTACCTCCCCCTCTCCCCATAGTTCTCATTTCCCACAAGTCCTCACTTATCTCCGATTCCTGATCTCTCACGCTTGGCCTACCCTTTCCCTCGGGAAAAGGCATCGGTAGATTACCCGTAAAACGCAACCCAAAAAACAAAGCCCAGACCCCGGTGGACGGTCCGGCGATCGTTCACGGACCCGGCATCTCCCCACCTCAATTCTAGACACCAACCCCCGTGCTCGGACTTCTATCTCCACCTCACAGTACTCGAGTACCTGTTGAACCACACACGCACACAAAAAAAAACCTTGTGAGAGATGTTCAGTACTGAGTTTCGTTTGCCCAGTCAGGTGGGGGCCAGGGGGGCACAAGGCGGTTTGGGGTTTTATAGCGCAGGGACCGGGGATAGAGCTTGCTTACAAGTACCAAAGTGGAGGCAAGTTTTTGCGATGCGGCGATGGGGTCGGGTTTGTGGATCTGTATCGATTTTACTGGTGTCTGACTATCTCTGGGATCCTCTAGCTGGGTGGGGTGATGGAAAAAAATATCATACACAATGTCATTGAGTTTGTCCCCTCGTTAAAGAGATCTGGCTGTTGCAGTTGGGAAATTTCCATTACATGGGACAAGGAAGCGAACAACGCTTGCTATGATATATAGAGTCTGGGAGGAGAAAGGCTCAGGTCTATCCTCCCCTCAACCTTTATGGGGCTGGGCTTATTAGTTTCCCTATCCCATGTAATGGAAATTTCAAGAATAATATGATAACTGATGAGGAGAATTGAACACCCGGACCCTCATGAATTGTAAAAGGGCTAGTTGCTCCACAACACCTTAACCACTACACCAACCACCCGCTCAGCAGGGATGCCTGGGAACTATTGTCATAGTTATGTACTTATTCTATCATACTGGCAGATTTGGACTTTTTACCTTTTTCCTGGGCTAACGGATAACAGCAATGATATTCGGAGACCAGGGGTGATAGTCTAGCGCAGGCAATTTCCCAACAGTTAGCAATCCAAGATAGCCCCCAGGAACATCTGAAAAGAAAATAATATTTGCTACTTGCAGTTGGTCAACG